GCCATGATTTTATTTTCTTTTATGCTGAGTAATATTTCATTCTGTATATAAATAACATTTTCTTTACCCATTTATCTATTGGTGGGCATCTAGGTTGGTTCCACAGTTTAGCTGTTGTGAATTCAGCTGCTATAAACATTGGTGTGGCTATAACTATAGTATGCTGATTTTTAAGTCCTTTGAGTACAGACCAAGGGATGAGAGAGCCAGATCAAATGGTGGTTCCATTTCAAGTTTTTTTGAGGTATATCCACATTGTTTTCCAAAGTGGTTGCACCAAGTTTCAATCCCACCAGAAATATAGGAATATGTGGTGCAACTTTTCCCCAAAATCTTCTCCAAAACTTGTTATTGCTTGTATTCTTGATAACTGCCATTCTGACTGGGGTGAGATGGAATCCTACAGTAGTTTTGATTTGCATTTTTCTAATTACTAGAGATGTTGAACACTTTTTTATATTTTTGTTGGTCACTTGTATATCTTCTTCTGAAGATACTGCTGCTTTTGAACTTTGTCTTATCCTTTTAGAAAGTTTATGGAATGCTTTGGGTTTGGTTCCTGTGGGGATTCTTCCCCACATGCTAAGAGATGGCACCGGGTACCCAGTGAGGGATTTCACAGACCTGTGGGTCTTATAACTGGAGGACATACACTAGTTATAAACCAGGTCTCCTGGCTCTGTCCCTGGGCAGGCAAGACTTTGAACAAAGAGCTCTTTTCTTGCACACCTGGCACGGCCATATGCACCAGAATGGAGTGGGGCTGGTGCTGAGATGGCAGTACCAGCCACCATGGGACATGGGAGCCTCCCTAGCCCACTGAGTTCCAGGCTCCATGGGTGACCTGGTAGCATCCTGCAACTTGTCCCTGGGGTCCTGAGGGATGTGGTCTGTGTCCTCTTCCCATCTGAAGTGTGACACATGGTGGCATGTCCCAGGGCTGCGATAAACACTGCCCTGCTCACTGTCCTTCTCTGGCACCCTGGGCCCTGGAACATCCTCCTCCCCCATCTGATCAGGCAAACACACACCCTGGCCACCTTCTCCAGGCCTGGCTTGGGTTCTTTGGTTCCACACACCTGCTGCCTCCTTTGAAATCTGCTGGGCACCTGTCACTGCCCATCTGTTGATACACCTGGGCTGAGAGGACCTCTAAGTACAGCATCCCTTCCACCAAGTGTCCCCAGTTTTGGTCCATTTGCCCACTCCATGCCGCACAAAGGGGCAGTGTCCAGACCTGCTTGGCCCTGTGGCTACCGGACTTGGCCCTGTGGCATGTGCTTTCCGGTTTTCCCTCTGGACTCCTTTGACACAGGACACTGCCAGCTCCTATGGCAGCGTCCGAGTGCCGCACAGAGCTGGTCTCGCTGGTCTTGGCCGCCGCAATCAGTGAACGAGCCCTCTGGCCCTGCCGGGGGTGTGTGGCCCTAGCCCTAGCGCAGGCTGGTCACCTGCGGGGCTGCCGGACCCACGTAACCGGCGCTCCACTCCACCGGCCCCTGCTCCTTGGTGCTCGCAGCGCTCCAGCCAAATCCCTGCATCTGTCCTCCCAGCGGAGGCGGCCGGGGTCCAGCTCAGCTGTGAGCAGCTCCAGGCCCGTGAGGGTGGTTTTGGCCTTGGTTCAAGACTCCGGTCCACAGTGCGGGGGGGCAGGCCGGGTGGGCGCAGAGGGGTCCTTTTCCTTGTGGGTCTGGGTGCAGTGAGGGTCACGGCCACATGGTGGCAGCACAGCTGCGCCGGGTCCCTCCCGGCCCGACGGCCCCGACTACCACAGCCACCTTCCCATTGCTCGGCGATCCTTGGTCGCCAGAGGGTGGGCAGGTCCCGGACAGGCTGAGGGGTTCCGGGATTGTGCGCCCCGCCCCATCCCTTGGGGTCGGACCCTGGCGCCCCTTCCTCTGCGTCCACGCGCTCCTGCGCCTGGTGGCGGGAGGGTCCCTATCTCCTGCTCAGATGGCTCGATTCGCAGTCTTGCGGGGACCAAGGTGCTCAGGCGGCCCCCGACAGCTCTTGCCCCATCCGCGCGGGGCGTCCTCGAGCCCCTCGCCCTGCAGCGTCAGGCGGGTTCTCCAGAGGAGCCGCCAGTCCCAGGCCGTGACCCCGAGCAGACGACAGCTGGGCTCTACCCTCGCGTCGCGCGGGGCAAGTGGGTGTTGGGCCGGCGGCTGGCTGCCCTGGGCCAGGGCGCTGCCCCTCGCGG